ATTTATTTATTGGTCCATTTATATATTTCTACTTTTTTTCTAGTTATGTCAGTGTCGGTCCTCCATACTGCAGAACTTGGTAATTTAATGTCTGAATCAGGTGTGCTGGAGCAGGGAAAAACATAAAACCTGCCGGGCAGCGGCCCTCGAGGACCAGGATTGCCCACCCCTGGACGAGCGTAAATGACGTCAGATTTATGGTTGTATGGAAGCTCCAATTCAAAATGAGAGTCGGATATAAAAGACTTAACTAGTGCAAATTAAATTGCAGATATGTTGAAAACAATGACTCTGCAAAACAAATTAAATATCTAGAACTGTATTTTTGACTTGTCAAAATTCCCTTTACAATATCTCCATATGAACTGGATATCTTGAATTTTTTTTCATCTAGCTATCTTGTCTATTTCAGATAGCTTGAATTGACATTCTTACGAGTCAAAACGTCACAGTTTTTCGTATATTTTCACAAATTTAGCCACACTTGCACATGCGGGGCTTATGTGGAATTTCTTCATTCAGATATCTAAAACTTTTATTTTGACTTGTCATAAATATGTTTGAGATATCTTAAATTGTAATTACAGATGTGTTACCCTTCAAATGACAAATCTAGTGACGTGTTTTAAAATTTCTTGAAAGTAATTTTGATTTGTCAAATAGTAATTACAGATATTTTTAATTTTTCTTCGGACTCATCAGACTGTAAATGCAATTTTATGAATCACCATTCAGGATAGTAAAAATGTAACAGTTTCAAGTCAAAACTCCTTTTAAGATCTCTAATTTCAATAAATTTTTAATTTGTTTTTAAAAAGGCATATGGGAAATAATGCACTAGTACAGAGATTCTCAAACCTTTTGCAACTGGGGACCCCTTACAAGGATGAAACATTTCCAGGGACCCCCCTTATAAACCCCACGCTGTTAATGCAAAATAATTTACTGTTATTTTAACCCCTAAATGCAACGGTAATATTATTTTTTGTTTGGTTTGGTACGTTTGTTTTACTCGCGCGTGATTCCTCATATGCATTTTTCAAAAAAAAAAAAAAAAAACCAAATTAACAATTTATTGAAACACAAGACACGGCTCGCGGACCCCTGGGGTTCCTGGGAGCCCAGTTTGAGAACCTCTGCACTAGTAAACCAAACATACTAAACCAAACTAAATTACTATGGCATTTAGGGGTTAAAATAGCCATACATTATTTTTGCATTAACAGAATGGGGTTCATTATGGAGGGTCCTTGTAATTGTTTCAGCTTTGTAATGGGGGTCTCCAGACCCAAAATTTGGAGAATCCCTGCTCTAGAGTGTAATTACAGAAAAGTCAGAGAAGCTGATTATATGTTTAAACGGTCTGCCATACCACCTGGTAAATTTTTAGCTTCTGAAGCTCAGGCGTTACCTGTTGCTTTCAGAGCTCACTTTTTTCTCCTTTTATATTCACTACATGAAGCTGCTTCCTCCTTTACGACAGGAAGGACAAAGTCTCCGCTGCGACAGAGTCTGACTGAGTGAAACTGGACCAGAAAATCACAGAGAAGCGGCTCCGAGAAGTTCGCCATTAGGCAGCAGCACGCGCCCGTCTGTCGGCTCTGCGTTTGTTTTTTTTCCTCGTTAAACAATTAAATCTCTCAGGAAAAATATAACGTTTGAAGCTTTCGCTAAGCTTTAAGGAATGAGCGCATTACGAGGCCTGTTTCAGGTCTTTTCAAGGGGAGGGTGAATGAATAAATAAATATATAAATG